TTGGATTAGCATCTTTGCATTTAGCACAAGGGAATACATAACAATCAACATTATCAATCCCTGCTGTACGAGCATTTTTAATTGTATTAACAGAATTACTATCAAATTTATTATTTGATTGCCAAACACGAATATAAATAGATTTATATCCATTTTTCTTAAAACATTTTGTTTGTTCTAAATTAGCTGGAGAGCTAATATCTATTCCTTTATTGGAATAAATTAAGTTTATGTTGTTAAGCAAAGTTAGTAAATTTAGGAAATAAAAACAAAACATCCTTTATTTAATAAAACTAAAAATTATTTTAAAAATCAAAAATATTAAAATATTTTAAACAGTTTGATTGTATGTAAAGAGTAGGTAAAGTTTTGGAACTGCTTAGAATAAAACATAAAAACGTGCGATATCTAATACACCCACAAGAATCTTTTGCAAAATATCTGATCACAGATGGAGGTAAGGAGAGGGCGCAATTGTGGCTGCGGAATTTTTTTTCCAATTGCGCCCAGCACTAAAGGAAAGCCATCTAATATAACGAAGTTTAAATTTTTATACTCTTAAAACGCATCGAAAAACTGATTTTTATAAATAGTTAAATACCTTTTTAAATCTTTATTTATGTATATCCACTAAAACATTAAAAATAATAAACAAAAAGGTGAAATAAATATTTATGAAATGACTTTTAAAGCAAATAATGTTGATATTTACTCAGAGAGGGGATTGTTAAGCTTACTAATATTACTTATATTTTTTATTAAGAAAAATTAAAGTAAAATTATTTTTAAATTAAATAACTTTTTTTATTATCTAATTTAATTTAAATAATCTATAACAAAATTTATTTCAGACATTTAAAACTAAATAAATTTAAATAAACAAAAACTTCATTAAAATATAAATAAATTAGGTAAATATTTTTATTTTAATTTATAAACAAAAATATGCACTTTTTATATTTTCAGTCTGAAAAATATTTTTTAAAATTATTTCTCGTAAACTTAATTTTTATTTTGAAAAATTTTCTACTAAAAAGTACACTTTACACAACTGTATATATTTTTAAAATTCTTTTTCTGTTTTTAAATAGATTATTTATTATATATTTTAAATTTAATTATAATAATAATATAAACATTTTTTAATTATAGTCTGGTCAGAAATTTTTTTTATTAATTTTTATTCAATTACATAACTTAATACAAATATTATTTTATTATTTATTTTTAAATTTACATAATTATCAATTCAATTCATAAATTCTCAAAAAGTAATCGAAAATAAATTTTTAATTAGTAAATATTTAATAAACGTTATAATAAGAATTATAATTTTTTAAAATTTCTTTTGTAGGTGCTACAAATTTGCTTTTTTTTATTTATTTCATTGACAAATCAGATTTGTTGATGTTAGTAAGATTGGTGATGTATTAGTAAGTGAAATTACTGGAAAAATGTTTATTAAAATCTGATAAAATTTCATAATTTTATTTAGAAAATTTAATTTTTTAAATTTATAATTAAAAAAATTAATTAAGATCTAACAAATATTATTATATATAGATATATTATAAATATATTAGTTGCTATATACATATTAGTTCAACAAATATATTAGTTGCTATTTTTCTTCATTTAATAGCCGTGTTTAACCCAATTATTTGTATTTTTAAAAACATATCATCGAAATGCACACAATAAAAACTAATTTTGTCACAAGTCAGAAATAAAATTGTGACAATTTTTATTAATTTTCCTAACCCTAGTTTAAATAACCATCATCAATGAGGCATAGTTTTTTCACATTAAATTCGTATTTTTAATCAAAAAAATGATCAAAACATGTATTTTCATCAAAACATTTAAAAAAATATTTCTTAATCTTTAACTTTTATTACAAGAAATATTCCTTTTAATGTCTTTTACATTTTAAATAAATTTATTTATTACATTTTTTATGTGTTGGATTTTCTTTGGAGTTTTCGTGGCAAGTAATTAAAAAATATAAAGAAGAAAGAACATATTTTTAATACTCTTTCTACATAGTTTTATTTAAAAAATTTTCTTTTCAAAAAATAAAGATACTAAATAGTAGGGTAGCTCTCCATTCTCCGAAACCTTGACCCCGATGACTTCCGATCCCCGGAGAGTCGGAGAGCTACCTTACTTAAATAGGGTAATTTATGGATATGTACTATATATCAGCCTCCCTTATTCTGAGTCTCAGAGTTTTCCTTAATATTTAATAATGGCCAGCCTTTTTCCCCACCTCAATTTCTTTTCATTTCCCTATGGTAACTCACGGCGTAGCGTAAGATTCGAATTATATTTTAAAAATTTTGGTTACATGTCTGTATCATTAAACGGTCAAAAACTAAATAATTGAAAAATTAATCTTTTCTTTATTAATTGAAGTTACCACAAAAAAATAAGGAGAAATTGAGGTAGGTAAGGAGGCTGACCATCATTAAATATTAAGGAAAACTGAAACTCAAAATAGGGGGGGTGATATATCCATAAAGTACTCTAAATAGTGTTATTTAAATAAAAAATATTTAAAAAATGAAGCTTGCAATTATTTTCTTGATATTATTTTCATTATTAATATATTATTCATTATGTCGTGAAATACCTAGTGGACCTAATCCTCTACACAATAAAAAATGAAAATAAATTTCGATTAATGGAAATTGGCAAGAAAAGATGGATAATAAATTAAATAATAAATTATATGTTTATGGATATTTTTGAATGAGATTAAGTGTAAAGTTTAAAATATGTATTTTTATCCTTCAATCTCAAAGATAAAAAGATTTCATCGGGGGACAAAAATTAACAAGTTTTTATTTTAAAATAATGTATGTGGTTTTAGGTTACTGCTTAATTAATAAATTAAAGCTCGTTTTGAAACGTTTCTTTGAATTTTAACTAGCAAATAAACTAATAGATCTCTTTAATAAGCTTTAAATAAAATTTCTATTTTCGATTACGATTTTTTTATGTACAGATATATATCGTTAGATTTATAATTATATTAATTTGAGCCTTCCTACCTGTTTTTTGATAACTCGTACAATGTTTCTGCCTCTCTAAAAAATAATATCGAGTACACTCCAATGTACCGGGTAGCTATAACTTGTTCAAAATTGACGAATCCGTGACGCCCTGATATGGTTCAATTTACCATACCAGTGCGGATCGTACCATTCTGAACGAGGTTGGCCTGCTTTTTCCATAGAAGGATTGAAATAAAATTAATATTTTTACTAAAATGTTAATTTTAATTTAACTTGTTTTGATATATCATAATTAGGGTTGTTTGTTTCACACCGAAACCTATGATTTTCGGATCGGGTTTAGGTAAACGAAGAATTTGCCGGGTAACCTAATCATAAGATATAAAATTATTTAACAAACAAATACTGATCCAAATATTTTTGACACAAATTAAATACAAATATTTATATAAACAAAAAGTAAATATACATAAATATTTACTAAAATAGGACTAATTAGTAATTTCCTTCTTGATAAGACTATAAAATAATAATTATTATTGTATGTACCTTATTCTTTCTCTTTAATTGTAATTTTTGCGTAAAAAATGAAGTCTTTTCTAAATATTACAAAAAATATTAATTATTATTTTATTCAATTTTTGCTTTTTCCAATTTTTATTTTTTGTTTATCATGTAATATTCTAACAAAACAATTAAACGAAAAAATTCAAATAAAAACACCTCTTGGAATTATTGAAGGAAGAAGATATTGTATTAATAATTATGGTGATAAAATAGATGTATTTTTTGGAATTCCTTTTGCTTTACCTCCAATTGGAAATTTAAGATTTGAAGTTTTTTTTAATAAATAATGTTAAAATTAAAAATAATTTAAAGAAGCCAAAATCTGTTCCAAAATGGAAGGGTATACGTTTAGCTACACAACCACCCCCAGCTTGTATTTATCACGCTTGGCCGGAAGGTTTTGATAAAAAGGAAAAGAATTATTCTGAGGATTGTCTTTATTTGAATATATTTGCCCCTAAAATTGTAAAGGTTTTTAATAAAGAAATAATTTTCTCAATTAAATTATATGTACTTTTAATTAAAGACCGGCCAGATGGATCGGTCGGGGTTTTTTGTGTAAATATCAAAAGTCGAAAAGAGTCGAGATCTAGTAGTTCACTTATCAAAATTTTAAATAAGAATTAATTTAATTTAAAGAGAAAAACACCCGAACCTATTCAACTATATCCAATTTTGTTTATAATTCATGGTGGTGGATTTGAAGTAGGATCATCACATGAGTATCACAATTATACCGAAATTGGAAAAAAATTTGTTTCTCAAGGAATTATTGTTATTTCCATTCATTATCGGCTTGGATGGATTGGTAAATTTAAAAAAAATAAATAAAATTACGAATAATTTTATTAGGTTTTGGGTCTACTGGTAATGATGAATTGCCCGGTTTTTTTAAATATTTTTATTATTTATTTAATAAAATTTTAAGGAAATTTGGGTTTATGGGATATGGTCGCAGCATTAAAATATGTCCGACAAAATATTAAATCCTTCGGAGGAGATCCAGATAAAATAACTATTTATGGTTATAGTGCTGGAGGAGCAAGTGTTTCTCTCTTATCAGCTTCTCCTCATAGTCAAGGTATTTGATTATTTTTGTGCTAAAATTATAGTTTGATAATATTTTTTATTATAATATTTCTTCAGTTTTAATCCACTTTTCTTCTTGTAATAACTGATTTAAAAAATTATTCTAAGGTCTTTTCAAACGAGTTATTCAAATGAGTGGTTCTCCTCTTGCTGCATGGGCATTAAATGAAAGAACAGTAAATGAAACCATTAATTTGGCTAAAGCAATTGGGTGTTCTAAAACAGCTTCAATTAAACAATGCTTGACTAAAATAAATATTTCTGATGCTTGGAATTTTGTTGATAAATTAGTATTTTGTTGATTTTTTATTTTATATTTTTTTTTAATTTTCGGGAACAACACGTACTGAAGATGTTAATTTTTCAAAATGGAGTCCTCGTATTGATGGAGATTTTCTACCTAGAGATTTTCCTCAATTAATTGCTAATGCTGAACCTAAACAAACAATAATGGGATTTGTTGAGTTAGAGACGTTATTGTGGAGTTAGTTAAATAATAATTTGTTAAATATATGCTTAATCAAATTCCAATCAGAATTTTAATAAAAATTCTTAAGCACAATTCATGGGACGTAATAATACATTGGCTGCTTATGCCATTCCATGGGAAGAATCAAAATACTTTGATATTCAGCAATTTAAAGACAAAGTTAAAAGAATTGTTACAAAAACTGAATTTTTTGGAGAAAATCTAGCTAATGAATTGGCTAATGAAATTGTGGAATTTTATCTAAATAATGATCCCCTTATTGAATTTAATCGACTTGAAAATACAGCAGCCTCCAATTATTATTATTTACAACGATATACTTTGGTAATTAATTTGATTGAGAAAGAGTAATTTTAAAAATAATTATTATAAATAATTTTCTGATTTAAAATTAAAAACCGATGAGTTTAAAAATATTCGAGAATAGGTTTAATGAGGTGCTTAAATATTAGAATTTTATTTTCTCAAGTTAAAATGGTCATTGCTAGTAGTTATTATTGTTTTTAATTGAATAATTTAAGATTTTTTATACACTCTGTTCCACAAATATATTAAGAATAAATATGTATATTAAGAATATATCAAAAATAAAAATAATTTAAATGATTTTTTTGACATTTACTGTAAAAATAAAATGTACAGACAAATCTCTCCAAAATGTAAAAAAGAAGGTGTCATGGGAGAGGGAGTTATATCCACCTTATTCCCATATAGATTAACTCATGTGCTTTCCAAATTAAAAATAATTCAAAAATTAATTTCAATTCACTAGCTATTATCTGATCTTCAATTTATAATATCAGTGATTAACGATGCTCAATTAAAAATTAAAAATGGTTGGCCTATTTATTTATATTATAATCTTCATTATAATAGTGAAGAATTTCTTAAAGAAGTTAAAATACATCGTAAGAAAAATAAAAATGAAATATTTTTTTAATATAATTTTATTTTTAAAGAAAATTTTCACACAAACGATGAAAATTTTATTTTCCATTATTCTCCTTTTAATTTTGCATTAAACGAAGAGGATTTGACTGTTGAAAGATTTTTGATACAATCTTATGTTAATTTTATTAAATTTGGGTAAATTTAATTAATTTTTTAATTAAAAAATATTTTTTAAAGAAATCCTTCAATATACGAAATTAAATGGCACAAAGCTACTCAAAAAATGCCAACAAGACATATCAGAATAAATGGACAACAAACACTTGAAAATCGTTATGATTTGGATTTATTAGCTAGACACGAATTTTTCCAAAAAATTTCAATTAAATATGGACATATTTGGGATTTGGTTAGGGGAGGGCCTGAAAAATAGGGAAAAGAAAATAAAAAATATAATTAAATTATAATTCGTGCAGACAATCTGTTTTATATTTCAATTTTGAATAAAAAGTTATTAATAGGGTGCTTTGATGAGAGAAGCTCAAAAATGGTGTTTTTAAGTTTTTTTGTGTTTTAATGGTGTTTTTAAGTTTTTTTCTGAGCACTTTAAGACCCGGTTCTTAATGCATATATTTGCATATCGGGTCATATTTCGGCAAATTTTGCATATTTTGTCCATATTTCGTTATTTTTTTGTAAAATAATGAATATCTGCGATTTTCCGTGCATATTTTGGACCACCCTAGTTATTAATAATTATATTAAAATAATATTAAAAAATCTTAAAAATAAACAAAATTAATTTTATTTTCAAAAATTAATTTAAATATTCGTGAGTTAGAAATAACAATAAAATTTCATGTGCATATTTAATTAAAAATTTTATTTAAAAAAATTATTTATTTAACAGAGTTCACAACTTTGAATACAAAATTTTAATCGAATCTCTTGTTTATAAAATTTATTTTTGCAAAACCCATTCTTTGCCCAAAATTGACAACTAAATATATTTAAATAAATATTTCTAAAATTAAAAAAAACTTTTTGTGTTCATCTGTACAATTTACTGAAGGTTTTGGTAATATTACAGGTAAATCTGGTGGAGGTAGAATAACTGGCTCTTCTGGTTGAACACCTATCCAAGAATCTGTTGTTGTTGCTAATATATCCTCTGTTGATGTTGTTTTATTTAAAAACCCTCCTCCACCTTCCATAGGAATTAAGGATAGTAATTCCTTTATATTTTGGGTTGGTAATAGATTGGGGGGAATTGAATTTGTTTTGTTGTTAACTTTTTAAATTTAAAATTTATTTTTTAAATAAAAATTTAAAATATATTAGTAAATTATTTTTATTTAAATGAAAGTTAAAATTTCTATTTTATATTTAGTAATTGTAAATTTGAAGATGAAAATCTTCAATAAGATTTTAGTTTAATAAGGCTGAATTATTTCTTTTTCAGCTCATGAAAATGGTTTTTCATGTAACTGGTAAGTTTGTCGGATAGTTGGAAATCTTCGGATATCCGAGTCCGGGTCCGATATCCGAACCGAAATTTCCGGATCCGACAACACTAGTGGCTGAGAGCTAATCAACATTTTCAGTTGTGATATTTAGTACACTATGCCGCCTCTTGCATAGCCTTAGGAGATAGATGGCTATTTGCCTTACAATAATTTTACCTCTATTTAAACTTTATTTACTTAGTATTTTACCTTTATCTAAGACTAAAGTATTATTATTTTCGACACTTTTATTTTTATTTTTTAATCCTTCCAACATATGTGGAGCATTATCTAATGGCTGTTGATTTTGTTCATTTATTTTTTCTTCTTTTTTAATTTCCTTTTGAAAATTAAATGGTTTAATAATTTGTTGTTTTTGTGTTAAAACAAAAATAAATAAATTAATAATTATTAAATAAAAATATAAAAACATTTTTTTAATTAATTTTTATTTTAAATGATCCTTTAAATAAATTTTATTTTGTTAAATTTAAAAAAATGAAATTTCCAAATTTAGAGAACAATTAAATAATAAACAAGCTAATAATGACAATGATATTACAAAATCTTTTGTACAATTATTGTTTTTATTTTAAATAAAAATCTGTTGAATAAACAAAACAAAAAAACATAAAAAAAATAAAAATGTCTGAATTGATTGTTATTTAATTTGTAAATTATTGATGTAAAAATTAAAAAAATACAAGTCTCTAGAATTTGTATAGTAAGGGATTTCGGATAGTTGGACAACTTCGGATATCCGGATCCGACAACCTTCGGATATCCGGATCCGACAACCTTCGGATATCCGGATCCGACAACCGTATTGTACATATAGGCCTTTAAACGGATTATACAATGAAAAAGTTATAGGTCTGGAATTAATAATTTAATAATTTAAACTTAAAAAAATGTTTGTAAAAATTAGTAGATTTAAAAAAGAAAATTTAATTAATTTTTTTCTAAAAAATTCCAAGCTTTTTTTTATCAAAAAAAATATTATTTTCATTTTTAACAATTTTCCAAATATTTTTCAAATATATTGTAGTAAATAATTGCCTTTAATTTTTCTTATTTTTCATCAATGAAAGAAATATTTGGTAAAAAATATACCTAATTTAATAGAGTATTTTGATTTAAAAAATAGAAAAGTTTAGTTTGGAATCATTTTTAAATAATAATTTCATTTTATAATAATAATAAAACAGACATTTACAACAGGGCTGGAGAATTTTGAATTTTAGAAAGCGGAAGACGGAAGGCGAAAGCTGATTTAGCCTTGATTTACAATTAGAGAATTTAAACTATTATTTGTTTTTAAGTTAAAATAATTTTTAAATTATTATTTTATTAAATACTTTAATTAAATGCCTCCACTGATTGAAAAATATTTCCATCTACAACTTCTAAAATCAGTTGAAAATTTTAATAATGATATTGCAATTGTAATTAAATTTAAAAATAATTAAATATAGTAAAATAAAATTAAAAATCATATTTAATTTTTATATAATTTTATTTTTATATATTAAAATCTTTGAATTATTTTTGATATAAAAAATAATTTTAAATAATTAAAATTAATTTAAAAATTCTATTTAATTAAATAGGTAGACATATCAACTGGTTGTAGTCTAACATTTTCTGATATTTACAACAAATCCATTCAATTATCTTCGGTTTTACACCAATTAAAATTTTTAAAACCTAAAGATGTTGTATTATGTGTTCTAAATAACAATATTTATTTTCCTGTAATTTTATTAGGATTTGCTTTAAATGGAATTTTAGTAACAGGAGCATCTCCAAATTCAACAATAGGTTAATGAAAGTAGTAAATAATTTATTGAAAAATGTTGAGAGTTAGAGAATTGTTTAAAATCATTAATATTTTTTTAAATTTATTTAGTTAAAAATTGAAGGGGAAGATTTTGGTAATAAGAAATAATTTTTATTAAAATAATTTTTAATAAAAAATTTGTACGATAATCCTTAGAACTGGCTATTATTCATAATGCCTGATAATTTTATAAAATTGGTGTACGTACTTTCTCGATTATTACCCTATTTACTTATTTCAAACTTTCAGTTGAGAGATTAATTAACCAGAAATTAAAACACTTTAACATCTTCACTCAAAAATATTATTTTTATTTTTTAGAAGAATTAAATCATTTTATAAATAAAACTGGGTGTAAAATTATTTTAACCGAAAATGGAAAACATCTTGATTGGTTAACTTCAAAAACTGAAGAATTGGACATTACACTAATTTTACTTCACAAAAAGAAGGAACAGAAAGGAATTGACTTTTTTGAATTTTTAGAATCTAATAAAAATATTGAAAATAGGGAAATAAATAACTTTTTGGAGGAATTTGAATTAACTAAATTTTTGGGTGATAATAGGGATGACGAGGATGATGATCCTCTTTTTGTTGCTCTTTTAAGTAGTTCAACAAGGTAAAATTAAATTAATAATTTTATTAATATATACGTATCTTTTAAATTTAAAGTGAATCTGCTAAAGTTATTCTATTAGTAAGTTAATTTAAAAATATGCAAGTAACCATTCTTCCAAATTTTCTGGTAAAATCATAAAATCTAGATGGTAAAACATTTTAATAAAATATTTTATTTTATAATATGTACAAATTTTGTTGAAGGATTTTCGAATAAAAAAGGGAGCCCAATTTTTCCCAATTTTTCAGAGCCCAATTTTCTAGACACCCTTAAAATTAATGAAACAAAATTAGTAATTTCTACTCTTTATAATTCCCTAAAATAACGAAATCAGTTTAGCTTCTTTATTTTAGAGTGTTTACCATTATAACTTTTATTAAATTATTTTGTGTTATACCATTGCTTTTTGGAAAATTAGGCGTTTCAAACAGATTCTAAATAATTTTAATTTAGACTCATCGAAATTATATTAATACAACTGAAATTCTCAAGTAAATTATACTATAAATAATTTTTAAATAATATTTCTTTTTAATTTTAGGCCAATTTTTGACAAAATAAGTAACGGCAAAAGAGGCATAACAATTGCTGCCCAGCCATTCTACCATGCTTCTGGTAGATTAAATAAATTTTAATGAAGGATTTATTTATGTAGGTCTTTGGATTCTTTGCTATTGTTTATTATTTGGACATCGTTCATTAGTAATGAAAGAATTTGAGCCTATTAAATATTTAAATGTTGTAGAGGAAAATAAAGTAAAAAAAAATTAAATAAAAGGCTTTAATTGAATTTAGATAGAAACTCTTTCACTAAATCCATTAATGATTGCAGCAATTGTTGAACAATTAGAAATAAACAAAGAAAAATTTGATTTGGTTTATTAACTTAATTTTTTAAATTCCTTTTTTAATTCCATAGTCTTCTGTTAAAACAATAATAAGTGGAGGTTGGATGGATCCAACCAATGCTAGCGAAAAACTAATTAATTATTGTTCTTCATTAAAAAATTTTGTTAACAGTAAAATTAAACAGAAATATTTTAGAATAACTAATATTTATATAAAAAGGTTATGGAATGACTGAAATTGTTTTGGTTAGCCATATGATTCCTTTAGGAATGGATAAAAAAGATAACAGAATTACTAAATCTGTTGGGCGTTTATTGCCTGGATTTGAATATAAGGTCTAGTTAACTCTTCTTAAAGTCTTTTTTTTACTTCCATAGATTGTGGATTGCCTTTCTAATGAGGATTTGGTTTCAAATAAAAATTATTCTCCTGGTACAAAGGGTGAACTTTGGCTTCGATCAGCAAGCATTATGTATGGATATTTAAATGACCCTATTTTAAATAAAAAGGCGATTGATAGTGATGGGTGGTTTCATACTGGTAATTGTTATTAGGCATTATAGAAGATTTTCTTTATAAAGGCGATATCGTTTATGAAGATCACGACGGATTTTTCTTTGTTTTGGACCGAATTTCTAATTTAATTATTGTTGATGGAAATCAAGTTTGGCCGACTGAACTAGTCTAAAAAATAAAAATATTTTAGAAAATTATTATTTCAGGAAGCTATTTTACTTTTACATCCAAGAGTCCATGAAGCTTGTGTAGTGGGAGTTAAAATAAAAATAAATGAAAATTTTTTGGATGCACCAAAGGCTATAGTTGTCTTATCAAAAATTGATAATAAAGAAGAAACTAAGGAAACAATAGCTCTAATATTAAAAGAAATATTACTTTTTACAAATGGTAATTAATTTTAGATGGGAAATAAAATTACTACATAGTTACTTTAAAAAAATTTTTTTAAGAACGGCTCGAACGTCATCAACAAATTACTGGAGGAATTATGTCCGTGGATGTTCGTTTTCTTGAATTTTAAATTTTGTAATTATTTAAATTATTCAGAGTTTGCCAAAAACCCCTTTTGGAAAGATTGCTAGAGGAAAAGTTCGTGGAATGTTTCTAAAAGACTGATTTAGAAAAATTAATTTTTAAGAATCAAAAAATGATTTTAGAATCTAAAAAAATATTAATTTTAATTTTTACTTATTTCAAAACATTACTTTCAATTTCTTCTTAGAATAAATGAATAGGTATGTATGTATTTAAAATGTTGGCACTTATTTAGCCCCCCACCCACTATGTCAATTTTTTGTTTTGATAATAGCTCATTCAAAGGTTCCCAAAATTGAAAACCATAGACGGAGTGTGTTTACACTTTTTAAAGATAGTTTCTTTTGTCCCTAATATCTTTATGATTCGGTACTTATGGCTATTGTTTTTCAACCCCACTAAGTTAATAAGTTGTTAGGTTTTGTTTAACTTATACAATAAAAATAAACCGAGGTTTTATTTTAGTTGTATGACATTAAAAAAAATAAAAAAATTTTCTATAGAAATTTAATAAGGATTATTTAATTTTAGAATATTTTGCAGCATAAAAAAATAATTTTCAAATAAAAAAGCGAAATTTTATTTACTTTTTGCCACGGTGGAAAAAAGTAAATAAAATTAATTTTTGGAATCTTGCCAAAATTTAAAAATAATATTCATAATAAAATGAAAAACACGTGAAAATATATATTGTAAAGACTCATGATTTTGAATCGTCAATATAGAAAATATAAAAATTCTTAATAATAATATTTATTGCCAAAGAGGCTCATAAAAAGTCAATTCTGAATATGTTTAATTGTTCACCTGCTAAATTTTTCTTTATTAAATTTTTAAAATATTAATTTTTAAAATTCTTAAATAGTAAATAAAGAAAAGTAAAAAAAGGTAAAAAAAGGTAATAAAAAAAGGTAAATAAAAGGTAAATATTTAAATATGTAATAATTAAATAATTTAGTATTGAGGAAGAATATAAAAAATGAAAGGACCAAAGAAAATAATCAACATTACAGAAAAAAATAAATTTTTAACCAAATTAAACGGGAACAAATAATACTTGATTAGATAAATGCTAAATTTTAAATAAATTTTAATTGTTTTCTCATATTTAACAAAATTTAAACGCTTTAGTTGTCGAAATATTTTTTAAATTGATTTTTCATTTCAGAAAAGATTTAATCGTTGTCTACATTCGTGGCAAAAACATCCAAGTAATAAGGAAAAGAGCCTCAAATCTTTTTAAATCTCCCTTTCTTGATCCCTTTAAATCTCCCGATATATCCAAACCCAACCTTATCCAATAAATCTAACGATTTGAGTTATCACCACATTCTTCGGTTAGCTGAACCGAAACAAAAATTCTCCTAAGACTAATATCCATGAAATCCTCCCATAAAACAGTTCTGAATTGATCAGTGGATTAAAGGGATATCAGTGTAATAAGGAGGGATAAGGAGGATTTCTTATAGTCAGTAAAATTCATAGAAATTTATATGGATTTTAACACTAGATTTATGTTATGTAAATTTTGTTGAATAACAATAGTGAAACCTTTTTATTTACAACCCAACTCGGGCTGAATTTTTCTGACATAAGAAAAAAATGCTGTGACGGGAGTACTTATAAAGAGAACTATTTTCCAACCTTTGTTTTAATTTTGAAAATAATTATTTCGATAAAATTAATTAAGTATATAAAACTTATACGATGAATGATAGAAATTTAGACAAATTTTTAAATGAAATAACTAAAAGTTTTCATCCTTACTGAATTAAGTTTTGCTCAGAATTTTATTTTAATTTATTAGAAAAATAATTTCGAATTTAATTCTAACCCAAAATTTTTTTACCCTATTTTTATTTTTAAAAATAAATATTTTTATAAAATTATTGTTTATAATTCATGTAAAAATTAAAAAAAAAAATTTTTTTTAGTTGAAGTATTTTTATTTATACCAATTAAATGGTATATGTATGTATGTATTTTCTTTACATTGTTAATTTTTGTTAGATATGTATGTACGTAAACATATTTTTATATAAACTTTGTTTGCCAAGGATATTATTTTCTTTTTTGATTATTAAAAAATATATATCTTTATTATTTTTTACTATTTTAATAAAATTATTCTTTACAATTAAATTATGAAATAAAAACAATTAATTATTTATTAACAACAAAAATTTTAAATAAAAACTTTAAAAATGATTAATAAATTTAACAAAGTATATTCTTCGTTTAAAATATTTTCTCAAAATAGAAATGAAATTTTAATGAATGCAGATTTGTTAAAAACAGATTTAATACCTATTGAAATAATGAAAAAAAATTTACTAAATAAAAATATAATAAAGGAAGGAAAAGGAAAGGAAATAAAATGTACTTGTAGATATTTATGGAATGCTGAATTACATGGATTGACTGCTTTTTTGAGAGTAAATAAATTTTCAGCAAAATATTTCAAAAAAATTTTTAAATAATTTAATTAGTGCCGTACAATGGCTGAAAGAATATTTTGGGGTTTTATTATTGCTATTTGTGTTTTAATGTCAATAATTACAACAGAATGGATGTTTAATGATTATCTTGAACATCAAACAGCTACTTTAATTACTATAGAGCAAAGGCAACGAAATGAAGGGTTTAAGCACACTAAATTCAATAAATTATTTTTTTCTTTTTGTTTTTTAGAGAAAGAGGGTTGCCAATGCCTGTTTTAGTTATTTGTCCAAAAAATCCAGATGCTTTAAAATATAATTTAATACTTAAAGATATTAATCGTCGCCTTCCTCGTATGGATAGAGTAACTATAGGGCGATTAATTAGCTTTGCTATTGCTGGGGCTGGTTTTAGTAATGTTGGGCAATTTATGAGAAGAAGAATCAAAGAAAATATTAGTGATCATCAGGTAATAGTGAAAATTAAATGAAAAATTAATCTTTATCGATATGGAGATTCAAATATGATATTAAAAAGATTTAATAAAAAAGATTTTCCTAAAATTTTAATTAAAATTTAATAGACCCAACATCTTTATTCATTATTTCGCCGCTGGCGTGGTTATCGAAGTCTCAGTGAATTTTATGATACTTTATTTAATAAATATGGATATACATGCAAAGATGTATTTTTAAATAATTTTTTAATTTGGATTTTTATTTTTAAAAAGTTATTCCAAAAATGTTTATATGGATATGAGGAAATACCTTGTTGTGATATTTTCCGTCCTCATTATGTTATGTTGCGAGGGCGTTGTATGAGATTAAGATATATTATGCATCAAACTGATCCTGCTGATATTGGAAGAATTGATGTTTATTTAGTTAAAATTTAAAAAAAATTTTGAAAATAAATTTATAATTTATAGAATCAATTAACTAGTCGTCTCACGGATAAATCAGGAATGCAAGTCACTTAATTATTTAATTTTATTTTTAAATGGAAATAAAATTAAGCCACAAATTGTTGCCTATATAACAGATGAACATCAAGCAGTCGGTACATTCCCCCGTTATTATGTCCATTTTCATTCTGCTGTATTATTACGTGCAAGAAATAGACAAATAAGTATGTTACCTGATAATGATCAATGTTATAGTAATTATGGTAAAGATGTAAATTTAATTAATCAAATAAATATTTAAAATTATTTTTAGTATAAAGGGAGAAGTTCGTGTTGGGTAAAACGTTGGCTACATGAAAAAATTGTAGAACCGTTTAATTGTACAGTTTTCTATCTCGGCAGAAATAGATACAATTATTTACCGATATGTGAACCTATTACTATTGTTAGAAATTATTTAGATGTTACAAATTTAAGATTGGATAATGATACACGAAAAAGAGTATGGAGAATTTTATTTTTAGATTTCAAGAATTTTCTTTATTTTTATATTTTTTTAATTAAATAGCCATGATTGATATGAATGGACTAACAAGAAGTTCAGATAAATTATAAAAAAATTTTATTTTAGTGTAAACCTGCCTGTATTCGGTCTGAACATACATTTCAAGAGTTTAGACCAAAAGGTTCTGTAATGAAACGTAATTATATGCCGGCATTTCGAATTGAAATATCTTTTACTAATTTAGAGGTACATAGTTTTTTAAAGGAAAAAATATTTTATTTTAATTTAAAAAAGATAGAGGTATATCAAGAAGTATTAACAACAACATTACCTGGATTTGTTTCTCAATTGGGTGGACAATCTGGGTTATTTGTTGGACTTTCTGTTTGCTCTATAATACAAATAGGTATTTCAATTGCCTGGAAATTACATTTGTGGTATAAAAGATTTTTTGATGGAAGGAGAAATGAAAAAATTTGAAAAAAATTTTTGGGATGATAGAAATTAAAGAATTCTTATTTTGATTTTAAAAGTTTATAAAGTTTTCTAAGTTTCATCACATTTGAATTTTTATATTTTTTAAATATTTTGCCCCTTAATTCAGACTATTCCCTCAACAAATATTTTAAGTATTTTCTCTTTTTTTATCTTTTTACAGCACAACATTTTTTTAAAATTTCTTCTCTTAATGTTTCATTTCCTTATCAAACACATTTTTAACCCATAGATAAAACTTGAATCTTATCTAACTTTGCTTTTCCGCCCTCTATCACTTATGAGGGCGGAAAGTCTCTTTTGAAGTTTAGGCTGTTTTTGAGACTAGACTTCTAATAAATATAACTTCCACTAATATATACATACAGTTAAGAGTCTTTCTTGGTAGTTCTACGTCTAATCTTGGTAGTTCTACATCTATTCTCCTTAATCTTCTTGGAATGTCTAGCAATTCTTCAATTTTGTCAATAACTTCGCAGTATTGCAAATACTTTTCTTTAGCACAACGGCTAACAAAGTATACTTCCTTAAAATCTATCATATTTCGGAGTTTGGTGTCGAATTCAGCCTGTTCTTTGGACGTGAGCTTCTTCCTTCTATTATCAAGACCATATTTGGAATCTTCTATTTCTTCAAACTGAGTAAGAATATCATCTATTTTATTGTCCAATGATCTGTGTAATATTTTAATTTTGAACTTTTCTTCGTCATTAGTTGGTATTGGTGGTAGTTCCGGTTTTGCCTCTTCTAAGTAATCCTTCAAATTTTCGATGGCCAGATTTATTGGGTGTACTATGTGCTCTGGGACGTACATTTCTACTTCTGTTTTTTACTTTTAATCGATCGTGACAGATCAATTATTTTTAATTTTTGATCGATCTATCGATCAAGCTCCCCGTTTTTTTTTGATGAGTGTATGCGATTAAATTTGTTGTTGCTTGCTTGTGTGTTGTTAACCGAATAGCGGGTACGTCAACAAGACGCGGTCGCCACTTGTCGCGAGCAGCTTTTAGCGCAACGGAAAGAAAAGAAAAGAAAACTGCTCACGACAGCCGCTGTTCCCTAACAGTTATTTCCTAGTCAATCGAGCCACAACGGGCTTTAATGTCTATTTCCTGTATATGCGATGAGCCTCAACGGGCCTTGGTGATACAACTTGTGATGGACTCGAATATAATTAACAATAACGTATGGGCCACAACGGGCTAATTAGTCTTTGCCACAACGGGCTAGACGACTAGAGGCTGTTACGCACGGATTAGACTAGGCCCCCTAATCCGAAGAGATATCCGGGGCTTCCCAGGGCGGGGGTACGCCAGTTATCGCTTAGTATATTTGACTATAAGAAATATATAATCAAATCCAAAAAATTTATTTAACTAAATAAATAATTTATTTTAATGTTGAAAAGAACAAGAATGAAAGTGAAGTGAATAATAAAAATCGTTGGGAAAATATTATTGTTAATGTTCATATAAGGCCCATCCTTCTTTCCATAGATAAGATCGCCAATTTCTTGTCCATTATGAGAAAAAGGTGAGTGTAGCAGTGAAAAGCGGATGTAAACACGGCTCAACGGCCGTTCATCTTTGGACTAGCAAGCGAAGACAACGTTCGCTCAGACTAGTCAAAAGAGCGCGCCAAATAATCGCGGCTCGGCGATTAATGACAAATCGCCGAGTCGCGACACTCCCATCAGAGTTTCAAACTCAAACCGAACGACGTCGGACCATGAGCTCATGCTGACCTCTCGTTCGAACTCCATGACAGAAGCGAACGATCCTCCTAACATCTATCCCAGGATCGAAAATTTTGTTCTGATCGCGGGTACCCACTAAACCTCTGGATGGTCTCGCGTCACACCGCGACCCTCCCCCCAGACTTTTTTGAGGGGGGCTTAGGTCCAAATACTCCAGGGTATACTCGATGTTCATCAGATTCAAGGCTTCATTTTTACAATTCTTAACTAAGCATAACAGCTCAATTAATTGCAGAAGAATGGTTTGTGCACTAAGAATCTTCCAAGTTAAGCCTGACAGCTTACTAATTTTCGTGTTTCTTTTGATACTTGAATCTAGTATTGCTTGCTCTGCTTTGCCTTTATTTGTACTTAGTTCTAACTCACGCACAACGGCGTTGTCTATGATTTCAGCTTTGCTTTCCTTACTTGAATGTTGGTGTGAGCTATAATATGTAATTTCGTTCACGAAATTGAAGCGGTATTCAACGATAGCGCTCAATCCACTACTCTGCTGGTTAAACTCTATCTCGATGTTCGACAATGTCTCCGAAATCTTTGATTTTCCTTCCATTCGTTTTTCTATTCTTCCTTCACCGGAGATGAAATGTCCTAAAAGCGAGTTGTTTAAATAAAACCCACTTCTCATTCTTTCAATGGATACAACGTGCATCGAGTCGTAGTAATCAATTCCTATCAATATTTCTGGTGCCATAATTTCTATTTTCGCTTTAATTTTTGGTGATCGCATCTCATTCAGTATTGATGTATTGTACTCGATTAATTTTAGCTCGTTCACCACTTTTTCTATTTCTCGGGCTTTCAAAATTTGATCAAAATTTCTTCCTTTTACGCCAAATTCAACGATTTGCGACTCATATGTACCTAATTGTACTCCTCCTAAGCCGCATACATTGAATTGCGCTTGACCAATTCCTGTTAACTCTAATGTTTCAATTAACGTCTTTGCAATATAGCTCCTTTCACTTCCAGTATCTAAGAAAACGACGACGCGTTTCTGTAATTGAGGCTTTAGTGGATTGTATATTGTCACTTGGATGCATTTCAAGAGGACGCAACGTTCCTCTCTATCATTTATAACTTTCGGTTTTGTGGTCGGCAAATTCGACACTTGTTTCTCTTCTTTTGGACACAGTTTGTCGTTTAATTTAGTTGTTGTATAGCTTTTATCAGCATCTTCCTTTTCTCTCTATTTAGTTCTTAGCTGTGATCCCAAATTTTCACTCGGAGCGCGTGACAGCGCTCCTGCTCGAGTTGATGACTCTTCTTTACTAGTATTTGATTCAAAAAGTGCCCAGAATTCTTCCAAACTTTTACCATCGAACGTGTGTGGCTCTAATCTTGGTAGTTCTACATCTATTCTCCTTAATCTTCTTGGAATGTCTAGCAATTCTTCAATTTTGTCAATAACTTCGCAGTATTGCAAATACTTTTCTTTAGCACAACGGCTAACAAAGTATACTTCCTTAAAATCTATCATATTTCGGAGTTTGGTGTCGAATTCAGCCTGTTCTTTGGACGTGAGCTTCTTCCTTCTATTATCAAGACCATATTTGGAATCTTCTATTTCTTCAAACTGAGTAAGAATATCATCTATTTTATTGTCCAATGATCTGTGTAATATTTTAATTTTGAACTTTTCTTCGTCATTAGTTGGTATTGGTGGTAGTTCCGGTTTTGCCTCTTCTAAGTAATCCTTCAAATTTTCGATGGCCAGATTTATTGGGTGTACTATGTGCTCTGGGACGTACATTTCTACTTCTGTTTTTTACTTTTAATCGATCGTGACAGATCAATTATTTTTAATTTTTGATCGATCTATCGATCAAGCTCCCCGTTTTTTTTTGATGAGTGTATGCGATTAAATTTGTTGTTGCTTGCTTGTGTGTTGTTAACCGAATAGCGGGTACGTCAACAAGACGCGGTCGCCACTTGTCGCGAGCAGCTTTTAGCGCAACGGAAAGAAAAGAAAAGAAAACTGCTCACGACAGCCGCTGTTCCCTAACAGTTATTTCCTAGTCAATCGAGCCACAACGGGCTTTAATGTCTATTTCCTGTATATGCGATGAGCCTCAACGGGCCTTGGTGATACAACTTGTGATGGACTCGAATATAATTAACAATAACGTATGGGCCACAACGGGCTAATTAGTCTTTGCCACAACGGGCTAGACGACTAGAGGCTGTTACGCACGGATTAGACTAGGCCCCCTAATCCGAAGAGATATCCGGGGCTTCCCAGGGCGGGGGTACGCCAGTTATCGCTTAGTATATTTGACTATAAGAAATATATAATCAAATCCAAAAAATTTATTTAACTAAATAAATAATTTATTTTAATGTTGAAAAGAACAAGAATGAAAGTGAAGTGAATAATAAAAATCGTTGGGAAAATATTATTGTTAATGTTCATATAAGGCCCATCCTTCTTTCCATAGATAAGATCGCCAATTTCTTGTCCATTATGAGAAAAAGGTGAGTGTAGCAGTGAAAAGCGGATGTAAACACGGCTCAACGGCCGTTCATCTTTGGACTAGCAAGCGAAGACAACGTTCGCTCAGACTAGTCAAAAGAGCGCGCCAAATAATCGCGGCTCGGCGATTAATGACAAATCGCCGAGTCGCGACATGTATATTTATTTTTTATTCATTATTTTATATACGAAAAATTTTTGGAAATAAGTATTATTAAATTAAAAAAAATAATAATAATTTATTTTGTTTAAAATTAACTTTTTTCCATCTAACAACATCTTAAAGAAAAATAACATTTTAAGAAACGAAGGTCATCCCCATTCAACAGTCATCGAGACAATTTATCTTTCAAATTTATTTTATTTTGAAAGGGAAATTGTTATTTTGTAAAGAAATGCATGAAATTATTTAAAATTTATAATCAATTAAATATAAATTTCTACAAAAATCTTGTTAATTATTTAAATATCCATTTGAACAAAAATCTGTTCAAAAATTCCCAGTAATTTAGGGAAGAAATGCACTAATGTTTGTTTATAATAGCCATTACTTTAGGGTCATATGATTTTTTGTGTTTATCCCGTGCTAGGCCGGATAAAATAAAAAGATTTTCTTTTAGTTTGTAATAAAAATAGCTTGATTGATTGCCATTTTCTGATTCTACTTTAAACAAAGACTTTACTTTTAGCTTCCTTCCTCCTTTATTTCTTATATTTTTAATGTTTTAAATTTAAGAAAATATATTTTTATAACTAAAAAAACATTTTTTTATGGGCAGCCGGAATGGGCTTCTCTTTCATTTCCGCCTTCCACAGAATCTACACTTTTTTGACTATTCTGCTTACACGTCCCGTTTTCTACTTTTAAAATGTTACATTCAAAAAATTAATAAAATACCGTAAATACTCTAATTGGAGCCCAACTCTTGCAGAAGCCCAGCTCTAATATAGGCCCATCTGAGGAGATCCATTGAAAAATATAAGCATAGGGCTTCAAATAGAGTATTTACGGTATTTTTAAATAGATTATTTAATTAAAATTATAATGAAAAATAAACATTTTTTGTTTGTTCTTTCTTTATTTCTGCTAATATCTGAAATATTAACAATGACAATTGGCAGACAACGAGAATTAAATTATATAATTTCTTGGTTAAATAATAATCATTTAAATGATGATTTTCTTTGGAAATTAGATAAACAATTATATATTTGCGGAAAAGAATATAATAAAAATGAGGGAGATCAGGATATTGAAATAAATAATCAAATAAGTCGCTTACAATTTGAGTTTACAATTGTACAGACTACATGCTCTAAACAATTAAATGTAAGTCTAATTAATTTTAAATTTTTCCTAGAACTTGATTACTCCGAAAAACTTTTCAATCTTAGAAACCCCAGATTTTTTAAACTCATTTTCTATTAAATTTTACTTTTAATTTCCATTAAAATTTAAATTTACAATAAGACCTAATTTTTAATCAAAAAAAGGTAATACTTCGCTGACGCCCCCCATAATTTATTTATATATCATCGAAAGAGCTGTTCGAGCTGGGTAGATTGATACAATAATCGGTTATATTTAGCGATTTTGAACAAAATTATGAAGCTAAATCCTTTATGGCATGCTTTTTGTGATGTTGAATGGGACTAAGACAAATGCTCATAACTATGTTGATTTAAGTCTGATTTCGATGATTCTAGAGCCGTTCGACTCAGCCCGAAGAACTCTTTCGAATGTATATACATAATTCGTAATAGAAAAAGGAAAAGAGAACAGAAAAAGGGGGGCAACAGCCGAAGTTTTACCGAAGAAGATTAATAATTATTAAGTTTTGTTAAAATTTTAGACAAATGGAGATATTTCTTATTGTCCTGTAAATGAGTTGGCGAATAATAAAAAGGTTAAATATTCAAATTAAAAAAATATATTTAAATATTTTACTTTTATTAGGAATGTTCCTTTGATATAATTAAAGACCAAAAAGAAATTGAAATATTAGATTGGGAATGTTTTTCTTTAAATAATGATGAGGAAATAATTGATAATGAAAGTGATGACGATATGTTTATTATTTGTTCTAAAGCTAATGAATTAACAAACACATTAGTTGATTCTGTTGGTCGTTTAGATGGACTTGATAAACAGGGATGGACTAAATTTAGAAGATTTGTTCGAAAGTAAAATTTAAAATATTAAGGAAAATTAAGACTAAAATAGTCTGTTATTAACAGAGAGAGAGAGAGGGAGAGACAAATCTTTGTTACATTTATTGAGAAATATTTAATACGTTAGCGTATCTTTGGACAATTCTAGTGTTAATTATGTAACGAATATAGCTATTTAATTCCTAAGACTATGCAGAGGCGGTGTGGTACATATAATGAATAACACTTTGTTAAGCTGAAGATGCTGGTTCGATCCCAGCCGCCGTATCCTTTCGCATTGTCTGAAGCAGAGGTGGGTCGGAACAGTCAGAGATGTCGGAAATCGGAACTGTCGGAAATCGGAAATGGCTCAAAAGTCGGAACTCGGAAATCGGAAATCAAAATTTTTTTTCGGAAATCGGAAATCGGAAGGAAAAAAACGCCGGAAATCGGAAGGCGGAAATCGGAAATAAAATTTTTATTTTCATAACTGAAATTTATTTAAAATTGTAAGGTGGTAAATTATGGGTCTTCTTAAGTGTAATTTGAGGGTGTAAAAGTTCTTTTTGCAACTCAAAAGTCAAATTCGAAGGGATTAAAAGAGATATTGTGGGATTTGGTAGATTAGACGGGATATCAGAGAATTTATAGAATTAATAGGGATATTTGGAGTTTAAAATTGAGGACTGATAGAGCCTATGACCCCTCGTAATCACACGATATAACTCAAAGTCCACATTAATCTAACCTAATCCGCCGATATACTATTCAACTTCCATTTACGGCGCCGCAGGAAAAAATTTTGGGATTTTTGGGAGCCTTAAGCCAAAAATCTTCCATTTTTTGCGCCGCAGGCGAAAATTTTGAGAATTTTGGAGGTCCTTAAGTTAGATTTCTTCGAATTTTTGCGCCGCAGGCGAAAATTTTGAAAAAATTTTGGAAAAATCTCTAGTCGGAAATATGCTTCAAAAATTCTCGGAAATCGGAAATTTTTCCAAAATTTCGGAAATCGGAATTCGGAAATCGGTAGGAAAAAAACGTCGGAAATCGGAAATCGGAAATCGGAATTCCGACCCACTTCTGGTCTGAAGGAGAAAAGCTATAATTCTAGTTCAGCTCATTATTATTAAAACCTCAAGTTACTAAGTAAGCTAAATTGGAAAAATCGAAAACTAATTTATTGAAGACGAAATGAAATTTAATTAATTAAAAAGATCAATTTTTATTCCCATATTTAATGATTAAAATAAATTATTTATTTTAGATATGGCCCTAATTATACAAAAGCATCAGAAGTATTAAGCCGTTTCAATAATTATGTTAAAAACTTAGGGAGAGCTAAGAAATATCAAAAAAAGGAATTAGGTACAGCAATTTATGGAGAAACACAATTTATGGATTTAAGTAAAGATGAATTTAGAAAAGTAATTAAAATTAATTAAACTAAAATTAAAACAAAAAAAAGATTTATTTGCCCTTTCAATGGCCTTTAAATGTTGAAAATACACAAATAGCACCTCATATTGAAGATGAGGATTTACCAACTTCTTGGGATTGGCGTACAAAGGGTGCTGTTACTGACGTGAAAAATCAGGTAATAAATTATATTTGATAAAAAGAATTTTTAAATTTAATTTTAAGGGTCAATGTGGAAGTTGTTGGGCATTTAGTGTTACTGGAAATATTGAAGGACAATGGGCGTTAAAAAAGGGTAAATTGCAGGCATTATCTGAACAGGAACTTTTGGTTTGTAAATAAGTAGTTATTAAAAAATTTATTTATTGAATAATTACCCTTGGAATTCTATTTTAAAATTTAATAGTGTGGTAGGGACTTCGAGAAGGGTTAATTATTCGAAGGAGGGTACTTAATAGAGAGGAGGTACGGTATTCATAATTAACAAGAAAAAGTACTTAAAAAATAATGCCTCGAAAAATAAGTATAATATATTTGATTTAAAAGGATTGTGATCGTGTTGATATGGCTTGTAATGGCGGACTACCTTTACAAGCATACAAGTTTATTTATTTAATTATATTTATAAAATTAATTAAAGAGAAATAATACGTATTGGAGGTATTGAACCAGAAAATGATTATCCTTACGATGCCAAAAAAGAGCATTGTAATTTAAATCGTTCTGATCTTGCTGCTTATATTAACGGGTCTTTACAATTAGAAAAAGATGAAATACAAATGGCTAAATGGCTGGTTAAAAATGGGCCTATATCTGTCGGTAAATAATTTTTTTGAACTTCAAAAAATTATATTTAAATATATCTTTTTTAAAGGAGTAAATGCTTTCCCTTTACAATTTTATCGTCATGGAATTTCCCATCCTTTGCGTTTTCTTTGTTCTCCAAAAATGTTAAATCATGGAGTTCTTATTGTTGGCTTTGGCCAGGAAGGAAATAAACCTTTTTGGATAATTAAAAATAGTTGGGGCAGAAATTGGGGTAAATTACTATTTTTATTGAAAATATTTGAAAAAATATTTATAAAGGTGAGCATGGATATTACCGCCTTTACAGAGGCAGCAATGTTTGTGGCATTCACGAAATGGCTACAAGTGCTGTTGTTAATTAAGTATTTTTGGAATAAAAAAATTTCCATTGAAATTATTTTTTATTGATAAATTTGTTTTTTAATTACAGTAAAATATTTAAAGCAAATTTATTTATTACAAAATTAATACAAAATATTTGAATTTAGAAAAATTAAGAAATACAAAAATTAAGAGAGATATAATTAAATTAAAATATTTATAAAAGAAAATTAAATTATGCAAAATAAAAATAAATAAACGTATAAATAATAGAGTTTCACCGGAAGTTCCGGTTCCGGTTAAAATTTCGGTTCCGGTGAAACACTAATAAATAGAGAGTATACTACATATAAATATAATAAATATAAAATAGTTCAGAAATATTAATTAGAAAATAGGTATATAAAATGGAGATTTAAATAAAAATGCCGTTCTCGAGTATAGGCTTTTTTGGTTAAATTTTGATAAATAATTAACCTTAAATAATTATCTAGATAGACATGACAAAATTAAATATTAATTAGTACTCATTCAAATTTTTCTGATTCTCCCTATGCCATCTCCTATTAAATAGGCTCTGGTGACAAACGTGGATAAATGCGCCTTCTAGGTTCCTTAAAATATTTTAAAAATAATTTAAGTTGAAAAATAAATATGCACCTCCTCTCCCTCCCTTTCCCCCTTTTCCTCCTCATCTGAATCTATTAATTGCTCAACTGTTGGAGCACTAGGTGTGTAAGGTGGTGGAGGTGTTCCAAATTTAGTATTTTTATTTAATGAAGTTCTAGCTATACGTTGTACTAAATTATCTTTAATTATCGGAATTGTGGTTGAAGGTAACGTTTCTTCACTTCGACGACGGAATTGGGTATTAGTAATTTGTTTTATCGGAGGGATAAGTCGAGGCAAATGAATCTAAAAGGATGTTATAAAAAATAATAAAATATTAAATATTTGAGACATCCAGATACAAGTAAAGAATTCGAGAGCAGACGGGAATCTTTGTAGGGAATTATCTCAGAAAAACCAAATATTTCCAAATTCATAGTAAATTCACCAAAAAAATTTACAAATCAGATACTTCTCGATACACACCCTTAATTAATGCTAAATACTAGGGTTATCGGTTCTGGACCAAACCGGAAGTATCGAGTATTTTTCGGTTCGGTTCCGGATATCCGAAGATTTTCCAAAAATCGACACCCCTACTAAATACATAAAAGTACCCAACATCCAGTTCACTAATTAAGTAGAGAATAAAATACTAATTGCATTAAATTCAAATAAATAATAGATTGGAGGAATAAGGCGAGGTACGTATAATTTTAGGAATAATTTTTATTTATTTTTATTTCCAAATCACCTCTTTATCAAAAAGCGCCTTCTCTAATTTTTCCATACGTTTTCGAGTTTTAGGTATTCCATCATAGAACATATTTTTAATATTCTTAATGGTTGAGATTTGAGGCACACATTCAGCCAATTCTTTTTGACAAGAAAATATTAAATTTGTTGCTGTTGCAAAATTACAATGTGAATCAGCAATTCCCTTTTTTTAATTTTTAAAAATTAATTTTCAAAAATATTTTTTTATTTTTACTTTAATAGCTTCTCTAAATTGTTTCATTTTAATTATGTCAGCTTCAGCTCTCTTCTTTTTCACTTCTTCCTTTCTCACCATTAATTCTCCAACAACTTCATACCAAACACTTTTAACTTCATTTGGGTCTTTTGGAATAGAGGAAGTACTCGATTTTCGATTCCAAAACTTTTTATTATTTTCTCCCTTATTTTCATTATTATTATAAGCTAAATTTAATTGACGTTCACGTTCTTCCAAATCTTCAAGTTTTTCTTCTTCTGTTTGTATATTCCTTTCTGTGTCAGCAACTTTTCTAAGTTTCTCAAGAAAATTTTCATAATTTCTAGCAAATGTTCGTTGATTTTCGGCTTGGACACGAAGAAGTTCACAAGTCCACCCTACAACATCCCCAATTGCATTATTTGGTGTTTGTTTTGCCCATTCTTCCAAATAATCTGCACTTATTTCTTGAGCATCAGCTGTTTGAAGGGTTAACTTTCTACAAAAAGAGAATTAAAGAATTAAGTAGCAAATAGTAGATTCTCGTTATATTTGGCTCCCGAAGATTTGGGAAGTGGACATTTGGGGAGTGAGGATTCTCAGAAAATGGTCCAAGGAAAGATGGTAGTTTTAATATAGTCCGGTACAAAGCCTGCCTTTTTATTGGAAGCACTCAGCCGTCAGTACTCAAATTCCGTTAGTCAACTGACCCCAATCGCAGAAACGAAGATGTTACAGACATCAAAATATTCTTAAACTACATATTTGAAACTCCACAAAAACACCTTCACGAGAGTATAAATTATTTTTATATGTCCAAAAATTATTCTTAAATTACTTTTTTAATCCTCACTCCCCAAATTTCGGACACTTGTATTTTAATGAATGGGTAAATTGGAAAAAATTTAAAAAAACATACGTAGTTGAGCGTAATGTCTCAATGCTTATTAACAACTGAAAATTAGGTGTATTTTTATTTAAAAAATATTTTTAATATACATGACTCATGTCTTCTGGTTCTTTTAATTTTAATTTGTTTGTATTTTGTGTTGCTTTATTAAAAATAGTTGAGAACTTGGAAGGTGAATTTGAAGTAAGATTGGAAGGGGCACTGTGTCGAGGCATTTTATTTGTTTTAAAACTCTCCTGAAGATGGGAATTTTATAGGGGGAATTAGTGAGTTTATTTATAATGAGCGGCACTTCAAAGAAAGTTTAATAAGGAAAAGATTCGGAAAAGTATAAAGAGAAAACTTCTAATTTTAACTAAAGAAGGGAACATTGATAACGTGTAAATTATAATAGTACATAATAAAGATTATAAGAGCTCATCAATTATTTTGAGAGATTTTTTAAAATATTTTTCAGTCGAAATCATACCTTTTTCCTAAATTTTCTTTTATTTAATGTAGGTATTTGAGCAACATTTAGAAAAAGAAGAGAAAGCATTTTAATAAAGTTTAACAAAAATTACAGTGGAATTATTAGTTTAGTTTTTTAAGTTTTATTTTTTTATGAATTTGTTCTTAAATGTATCTACGAGTTATTATTTTCATCAAAATGAAGATAAAAAATGAAAAAAATAAACTTTTAATTTCCAAAGGAGATCAAAAAGATTTTTATAAAAACGTGTAAAACGTTAAAAAAATTTTTTGAAAAATAAACTAACGTCTTTTGATTTAAATGAATTAAATTATGTCGATTCAGGCATGCAGTCAGGAGAAATGAGGAATTTTCATTCTATCGTGTAAAGTAGGGGTCAATTTTGTAAGGCCAATTTTTGGCATTTTTTGGCACAAAATAATTTTTCCTACCCAAATTTAAAAAAAACTTATTTTTTAAATCGATTTTTAAAGAAAAAATAGTACAAAATAAAAATATATACCCAACATAATTGATTGAACCAAATAGGCAGTGCTTGCGGGGCCTGCTGCCAACAGTGCAAATGCAAAATAAATGGGGGTTTCCTCCCTTTGGTGACCGCTATATTTATTTATCGACAAATGGTCAGCCCATTTGACCAAAACGCATTTTAGTGGGAGAAGGGCACAGAAATGGAAGAAACTGCAAAAATAAAATTGCGATATCCCTTAAATTATCCGCGGCCTATTTTTATCAAATCCTTATTTCTTACATTTTTTATCCAAAAATTTATTCAGATAAAATCAAAATATCCAATTTTGAAATTGAGATTTAGGTAATAATTTAAAAATAAAAAAAATAAATTATACTATAGAGAATTCGATAAATTAATTTGTCATTTTAATTGTCGAGGGAAGCCAAGAAGGCCCTTCAATCTCCTCAGTCTTCAAATTTGTATAATAAAGTCGAGAACGTTTCAAACAAGTCTCCCAATCATAAAAAGGTTTAACGTCAAAAAATACTCGAAGTTTATAACCAGAATAAAAAGTCCAATGGCGTAATAAAAGATAAATAAGATTTGGAGATGGCAACTAAAAAATTTGGGTACTTTTCCGTTATACGACCGCAAACTGAGTGCCAGCCGATTTTGAACAGCTATAACTTTTTAATGCTTGATCCAATACAAATGAATTTTATATCATTCGAAAGTCCTCAATAACCAGTATATTTTTCTGATAAGATAGATAAGATCTGATCAGTCATTAAAAAATTATAACCCGCTAAGTCCAATTATTTGATGTTTTTCATTTTTATCGAGTTATTACTTTTTAATGGGCGATCAGACCTGATCCATCAAGTTGGATAAAAAATACCTCTTATCGAGGGCTATTGAATGATATAAAATTCATTTGTATAGGATCAAGCATTAAAAAGTTATAACCTATCGAATTCGTTTGGCACTGTTTGCGGTCGTATAACGGAAAAGTAAAAAAATTTGTAATGAAAATTTAAAAAAATTTTAAAAAATACATAATTAAGGCTCAAATGCAAATTGGAAATATTTGTAATTAACTGCACCACCCAACAAATAAATAAATATGGAAAGAAGATAAGCCAAAAAGGAATTGTCCAAGTACTAAAAATAAATAATTTTTTAAAAATCTCCCAAAATCCTTTTAAATTAACCTCTTTGTAATTTCCTCGTGTCCAGTATCAACCTCCTTTGAATCCAACATCCCATCCAGAATTAAAGAATAAAAATCATGTAAAGGAGTATCATCACAAATAAGAACAGTCTCACAAGAATTTTTGTTTTCAGAATTCATTAACTTTTGGCCACACGAAAGTAAAGAAAATGCAACATTCCCAGCATATGTAAACTGTGGAAATAATGATAAGATAAAAAATACTTGGGAAGGGCTATATAATAAATTATTAAAGATTAAAAAAAATAGGGAAGTTGTAGAAAAATGGGAATTTTTTAATTTCATATTGCTACAGGAAAAATTAGTTGTTCATATAATTAACAAAGTTTCTTTTTACATTATAGAAAGGAAAAGTAAATACAAAAAAATTTTACCTGAAGTACACCCATATCCTTATGATTTCCAATTCGGGGAACATATCCAAAATATTTATTGACCAAAAGAGTATCGCAGACCAATGAGCGCCGGTCACCTTCACCATATACTGGACCAACACGTGCAATAACAACAGAAAATTTATTGTCTAAAATATTTAAAAGGATAAATAGGCCAATATTTTTGTGGGACTGAAAAAACAATTTGAGCAATTCATGGCTATTTCAAATTTTTTTTCTCGAAAATATGGAAAGACAAGCCACCAGATTTCGCCAATTTTTTGCTAAAAATATTATCGAGTCTTTATCGAGTCGGGCCGCATTTTTTCGAGTCAACTTTTTAGGACCGGCCCGACCGAGTCTTTTTCGGGCCAAAATTCAATGCCCGACTCGATCTTTTGGACCGGACCCCCAACCCTAATTATAGGATTAATCATTTTTATTCTGTTAACATAAAAATAAACCTAAATTGTTTCTCAAAAATTCCTCAGCCATAAGTTTACTTTTGCAATATTGTGGAAAAGGACACTCGTTCAGAAATTGTTTAAAATCCTCAGATTCTCTTCCATAAACATTTGGCCATTTTGTTGAACATTGAAGATAAGTGGTACTTAAATGGACTAACACAGTAACCTTTGAAGTTTTGCAATAAGAAATCACTTCAGCAACAACTAAAATTTAAGGGACAATCAAATTTGGCCCTATTCCAAAAAAAGGCGGAATCGTTTTTTTTTCATTACTTGCAAGGAAAGGAAAAATGGAAAGGAAAAAGGAGACGGCTGGATACGGACAGACAAAACACGGACAGAAATGTTTTAGAAATTGATTCCGTGTTTTGTCTGTCCGCGTCCGTTCGTGTTTTGCTTGTCCATGTCCACCCGTCTCCATTTTTCCTTTCCTTGCAAGTAATGAAAAAACGATTCCGCCCTTCTTTTGGGATAATCAAATTCAAAAAACCAACATTCAACGTTGTTTTTGTTTAACTCCTCCATATTTGGTGTCAAAGACAAATCTTGTAGTTCATGCACATTAATAACCTTTATAAAATTTTAACTTAAAAATAATTTAAATTAAAAACCATTTCCGAGCCTTCAATTGCTTCTTTTAAGCCATCCAGTTTGTAATTATAATTCCAAAGAGTTTTGTCAATATCAGAAAAAACGTTGTCAATCACCCTAACTATATGTTGTCCCAAAAGTGTATTTGCCCCAAGAATTGTAATTTTCTTCATTTTTAATAAAAAAAAGTTTAATAAATAAAGTCAATGATCTCTTTAGCTCGATGAGAGGAATCGTTTAATACTAAATTTTGAAAAATCAAGAAATCTTGAAGCAAGTTATCGCTTTGAGCCTACTTGGCCGCTTAAATAGCAAAATTATCCGGGAAAGGAGTACAGGACGTTTCATGGTAGGCGTTTTAGAGTAGGGACGTTTCAGAGTCGCCGATTCAGAGTTTATCGAAAAAATTTTGTTCCAAAGTAATTTTTATTTTTCAGAATCGTCTCATTCTTTTGCAAAATTTATTATTAAAATTGATTAGATGGACATGGACATTGTGAAAAAGAAGGTATTTCCGTATATTTATTTAATTTTAACTTTTTTTCTTGCAGGTTTATGTGCCCGGTATAAGCCGCTCAGTGAAAGAAACGGAAGAACTTACCTATGATCCAAAGGCTTATCTCCTTTTGCACACATTTGAAACAGGTTAAATTTTTGATCGTTTAATTATTTAATTTGATATATTTTAAAGAGTATCCGTGTCTGAGTTTTGACGTCATTCCTGATTCTTTGGGCGTTAATAGGCAAAGTTTTCCCGTGACATCTTGGATTGTTACAGGAACTCAGGTTTTTCTTTTTTAATATTGAGCTGATTTGTCTTTCATTTATTGGTATAATTTTAGGGTGCTTATGGATTATTCCAAACCAGTTCTTGCGGACAATTTATGCGGACTCATTTAAGTACAAAATGATCAGATGTTCTTCATTCCTCAATTTCACTCTTTCCTGTGGCCTTTCCACATTAATGTCTCACATTGAAAATTCCACAGGGGAGAAATTGAGGTAGAATATTGAGGCATGAGTCTGCATAAATTGTCCGCAAACTGGTTTGGGATAACCCATAAGTACTAATTTTAGTTTTGAAATTTTTTAAAGCCTTGATCTTAACTGACAATGAGTAAATTATTTAGTAAAAAAATTATTAAAATTGTTCACCTTTTTAGGCAGACAAATCACATTCAAATCAACTTATGGTTATGCGGTTATCTAATATGCATGCGAATAAAAGTGCCTTAAAATCTAAAGCAAAGGAATCTAAAAATGATGATGGTGAAAGTACTTCTAGCAGTGATGATAGTAGTGAAGATGAGGATGAAGAAGACGAAGCAAATCTTGTTAATGATCGACCTGGAAAGAAAGAACCAAGAATGCATGCTTCTTTAGTTTCTCACCATGGAGGCGTTAATCGGATTAAGGTTATCAAAATTTCAGTATTCGTTGGAGTGCGTCAAAATTGCATTTCCGAGATCCCGTAACGTGATTGAGTTTGAAAAGATAGAACGGGAGGGATCCCGTGGGATTAATCCCGGAGTCCCGGTAATCCCGCTCGTCGCTAATAACCCTAATTCCTGGACTGGATCCCGTAAAATCTAGCCCGGGATCCCTCCCGTGCCGCACTCTAGTATTCGTTTCAGGGTCTCCGATATGAATTTTTATTTCTCCCCTGACATTTTTATTTTTTTTTATTTTTTTTTTATTCTGTTTGAGTTTTATCCTCCCATTTTTATTTGGCTGGTTTATTCATTTATTTTCCTCTTTCAAAATTTCTAATTTAAGTTTCAACGTCTCGGATCAAGCGATGTTTGTGCTGTTTGGAATGATCAACGAAAAGTTCAAATTTGGAATTTAAATCCTTTCATTTCTTGTATTGAAAATATTTCTCTTTCTGAATCTACCAAAAGTATTGCATTGAAGAATGAGAAGCCTCTCTTCAGTAAAGAATATTCGGCCGAAGGTTTTGCACTTGCCTGGTCATCTTTACAAACTGGTTCTTTGGCAACTGGAGATCATCATAGAAAGGTAATTCTCTTCTGTGTGAATATTTTCTAAAGTATTTTATCAAAATTACTTCATATAAATATGTTATTTAGATTTTTCTTTGGAAAATGACTGAAGGAGGGAAATGGATAGTTGACGCTAACGCTTTAACTGATCATCGTGGATCTGTTGAAGATTTAGGTTATTATAACTATTTTCATTACTAAATTTTTTCAGTTTGGTCACCTACTGAAGAATCTTTGCTTGTATCATGTTCTACTGATAGAACAATGTATTTATAAATTAATATATTTTTTAAATAAAATTCAGTCGCCTATGGGATGTTCGTTCTCCGCCGAGACAGGCTTGTGTTTGTACAATTAAGGATGCCCATGAAGCTGATGTTAATGTATTGAGTTGGAATACTGGTACTGATCCACTAATTGTATCAGGAGGGGATGATGGTGCTTTGTTTGTTTGGTCATTAAAAACAATTCAAGTAAATATATTGATTTTTTTGAAAGCGTAGAAAATTTTTTGTTTAAAAAATTGTATTTGAAGAATTGAAATCTTTATATTTATTTCTTTTCAATACCATTTAAAGAAAAAAATCTAACCAGTTAATAATCGAGATATTTTAAATCTTGAATTTATTTCCCTAATTTCAGTACAACCAACCAGTTGCCAAATTCATTCACCATCGCAAGCCTGTAACTTCTGTTGAATGGAGCCCTCATGACAGTACAGTGTTTATGGCTTCTGGAGAAGATGATCAGACAACTATTTGGGATTTGGCTTTAGAAGCAGATGAACCAAAATATTCTAATGGAACTGAAGAAGACGAAGGAATGGAAGAGGACGACGGAGAAGAAAAGAAAACAAAAATTGATGGGGTTGAACAACTCCCACCACAGCTTCTCTTTATTCATATGGGCCAAAAAGGTTAATAAAAATTTGTATTTATTTAAATTATTTTTTTCTAATTTAGAAGTAAAAGAAGTTCACTGGCATCAACAATGCCCTGGTCTAGCATTGACAACATCACTTGATGGATTTCATTTATTTAAAACAATTAATTGTTGATTAGAATGTTTTTTTGTTACAAAATTTATAATAATTTATACAATCTTTTAATAAAATAAAATGTTAAATGGTTTGAAATTTTTCTGGTTGTGTTAAAATATTCCAAATTTACCCTTAAAAATTTATTATAGATTTAAATTATTTTTAGCTACCATGAACTTGAGAGTTCTATTTTTGCCGACAACGTTCAAACCCGGTGAGAATTTGATTAGAAAAGTATCTATAAAATGTTAATTGTTCCCAGGTAAATCCATGGCGGCACAATTAAGAAATTTTTCTGCTTCTGCGTCTTCTATTTCTGACGGAGAAGTTCTGATTGATCGGATTAAACAAAAATTGGTGATTACATTAAATCGTCCAAAGGCTCTGAACGCAGTTAATTTGCCAATGATAAAGAAAATTTACGAGGCATTGCAGGTTATTTATAAAAAGGCCTTTATTAATAAAAATACTTTCTATTTAGGAGCCTTCTGATCTTGTTATTATTAAAGGCCAAGGACTAAAAGCGTTTTGTGCGGGTGGAGATGTTGTTGGTTAGATTGAATTGCAAATATTTTTTAAATTTATATATTTTAGCAGTTTCAAAATCTTATCAATCTGGTGATAAAACTGAACGGATATACGACCAATTTTTTAGACACGAATATCAATTAAACCATCTTATCGGTACACTAAAGAAGCCTTACATTGCATTAATTAATGGCATTACTATGGGTGGGGTAAGAATATTTTATTTAATTTAAATACTTCTAATTTTTTATTAAAAAGGGCTGTGGTCTTTCAATAAACGGCCCTTTTCGTGTGGCTACAGAACGAACAGTACTGGCTATGCCAGAAACGGCTCTTGGATTATTTCCTGATGTTGGGGCAACACATTTTCTTCCAAGGCTTTCTGGGCATCTTGGAATGTTTTTGGGATTGACTGGTAATTTTTTTATAAAATTTATTTGAATTAAAAATTGAGAATAATTTTGATTATTTTCTAAATTTTACTTGATTTGAATTCTTCGAATAACCTCGATTCTTAGGAAAATTTAAACTAAAAATCATTTTTTCTTAAAAATCTAGGATATCGCCTTTACGGCTCGGATGTTTTTCATTCTGGACTTGCTACTCACTATATTGAATCTTGCGACATTACTCGTCTTAGCACCGATCTAATTTCTTTATCTGCTGACCAATGCACAAATGACAACGTTAATTCAATTATAAAGAAATTCCAACCACAAAATATCGCTTCTTTTTCTCTGGACCCTTATTTGGATTTAATTGATGAATGTTTTGATGCTAATAGTGTTGAAGAAATTATGGAAAAATTAAATAAAAAAGTTTTAAAAAAAGAGGAGGGAAGTGATTTTGCTTTAGAACAATTAGAAGCTCTCGAAAAAATGGTTAGCAGAAAAACTAGAATAATGACATTTAAAAAATATTTTCATATTTAGAGCCCTACATCTCTAAAGATCACATTCCGGCAAATTCTTCTTGGCAAAAAATTGAAATTCTCTGAGGTATGATTTTTATAAATAATAATTTTTAAAAATAATTATTTTTCAAATTAAGGTCTTTCCCGTCGAATTTCGACTTTCTCAACGTTTTATTTTTGACCAAGATTTTCATGAGGGATGTCGAGCCAGTAAGAAATGATTGGACTTGTCTTTATATATATATTTTTATTTTTTATAGTTTTAATTGACAAGGATAAAAGTCCAAAATGGGAACCCTCAACACTTAAAGAAGTTAGTGAATCAAAAATTGAATATTATTTTTCGAAATTTGATGAAGTTGGAAAGGAATTAATTGTTCAGTAACGGTTAGAAAAGTTTAAGCATCAAGATTTTGCAAGTTTAATGTTAGTAAATGATTGTAAAATATGATCAATCAAACAAGTCTAGAGTTTGTGATTATTGTTTTGGTCCTTTAATGAGAGGAGATGGATATCCAAAAAGAGCATAATATGTAGGGTTGCCAGCTCGCTCGAAGAAAC